TCTTTAATTTTCTGTCATTGTTAGCGATTAATCTCAATAGACTAGGACCCCGACTCAAAACCATATTAATGAAATTTTTATATCCAAACTATTTATACAAGATAGATGTAAATAAATCGCCATTTTAAAATTAAATGGGTACATGCTATGTTTTGTATATTCTTTCCTTTAGCAGTTTTTTATTTGACTTGCTTAAACCTTTTAACCTGGCGTTAGCTATTCATCCTTCTACTTTTGGTTGAATATAAAAATGCGTAAACATATTTTTATATAGTAAGTGAAGCATCAACCAGAAGAAAGTATAAAGCAAGTAAGATGGATGGATACTGAAATTAATTACCTCTTGCATTGTATAGTTCCATGCTGAAGATCAGAGCAGAGCATCTATCCCCATGAATTAATTAATAACTGAATAAAATATATAAAAATATGTGTTGAGAAGATTTGAGCATATATATATTTGGTGAGAATTGGGATAGATATTGGGTTTGAGAAGATCGAGAGGGACAGGGAATAAGCTAAGGAGCAATATAATACTGCGATAGGGATTTGGGTTTACAAATTACATACGTAGGAAATGTTGTGGAGATCGAGTAGCTGTGGTTTGTGGGGGAGAGAAACAAGTGAATTGAAAGACAGTTTAGCCATTATAGTATTAGTACTTTATGTGATTCTATTTGTCTGAATAATGTTTTAAAAAAAGCCATAATTTGGTTCCCTTACTTTGCTATATGCTACCACGACCATAATATAGAAAAAAAAAAAAAAAGATTTATAGTGGTCACCAACTAGCGACTACTCTAAAACACCCAACAAGCACATTTTGAAAATGCACACGCTAGGCGTAGGCGTGTCTCCACACGCTTTTTTTCCTCATGCAAAAAACACATGTTTTGCAGGTGAAATTTTTTTAACAAAAATTCTCATTTCATAGCTAAAAATTTCATCCCGAATTTTTAGTTCTGAAAAAACCTTTCAAAAAATACTTATGGGAATACTCTTAAGAGTGTGTAAAACATCTCAACTGGCTAGAGAAATAAGAAAAATATTAATTAAAAATCTATATACACATTTGATCGAATAAATGGCAATATAATTGTAGAGATATCGGGGGACTTGGCAATCACGTGGCACATCCTTGTCCCCGCCCCTAACTTTCTCCCCAGTTTTCATTACCCGCTGGGGATGAGAATAACTCCCTGTCCCAACAGGGTTACTTCCCCAACCCCACCAGATTTTTATAATTTTTTTTATTCGATTTGTGACATAGTCGTAATTGATACCTTATTCTCATTATTTATTTTTTTTATAAAAAAATTAATATTCTCACATATCCCGGACCATCTCATTTACACTTTTTTTTTTTTTTTTAATAATAGTATTCAATGTGAAATGAAAAAAAAAAAAAAAAAAAAACTACGACATTAATTAGAATATATATGAGGGGCGAGGGGCGGATCGAAGTAGGTACTCCCCATTCGTACCCGGGAATGAAACTCGCTCTCCCTCATCCCTTTCCTCATTCTCCAAAACTTCTCCCCATTCTATGCCATTAGAGGAGAATTGGATTCCTCATCGAGGTTGAGTGCAATTGACATACACAAAACCTATAAATAAGAGTCTTGTCTCCATAACTTTATCTCATTCTTGAATACATTCATTATTCACAATTGGCATAAAGTCCATCATTCCTTAGTTATCATAGCTTGGTATCCTAATTTCATGAATTATATTCTATGAACAACAACGACTTGAAATCTTGGCTTTGTTTGCTACTTTTTCTTTTGTCCTTTTTTCTGGTTGAAGTTGCTTGTTACAGCTTCTTATTGTAAAATATAATACTCCTTGAACAACAAGCTAAGACATAGAAAGAGAGGGTGCAGTGTAGCTCAGCAATTGTTCCATCTTTACATTTGTGTCTTTGTTGCTTTTTGTCCAGTGAAACCACCAAATTAAATTTGGGCCATATATTCCTCTCCTATAAAATCTAATTCTAATATATAATAGCTTTAAACCTGTTTGAAGTACACATCAATTTAATATTGACAAATAATGCCTAATCGCATAAAATATATAGTATTACCACCTTATAAGCTTTCTGCAAAGATTGGCAAATTTGATAAATGTATCATCTGATCGATCACCAATAGCTATGGTGGTTATACTACTACTAAGCAACAATAGCGATTGCAAAGGGGTGGAGTGTTGCTACTAAAATAATCATCACAATCAGAAATTGTAAAAGCAGTGACATACAGAGAAAGAATAAACCGTGGCTTGAGATGTTGGGTACGTAAAAATTAATAAATAAAATGACTTATGATTCTTTACAAGATAATATCATGATTTGTGTCCCACCTCCGGGATATATATATATATATATATATATATATATATATATATATATATATATATATATATATATATATATATATATATATATATATATATATATATATATATAGAGAGAGAGAGAGTTGCACTCGGGTGCGAACGGCTCGCCCAGGCGCAAAATAGGAATGGATTCTGTTCGTCCACGTGTCCAGATCTAATGGATGAGAAACACTGATTTTTTTAAAAAATACGGTGGCATTTTCGTAAATAATTGAACATCGAAGTGCAAGTAAAATGTATTACAAGTGCATGTAAAATGTATTATAGGTGCAAGTAAAAATTTACACTGAGCATCAATACTTAGTTGCACTTATAGTTCTAAGTAGTTGCACCTATAGTTCTAAGTAGTTGCACACATAGGTATAAGTAGTTGCATCTAGGTGTATGAATGTTTGCGAGTGGTTTTCAGGAGTATTACCACCCGCTGAACTCAGATCAATGAATGTTAACAAGGCAAAATTACATGCACTTATAGGTGAAAGTAGTTGCACCTATAGTTATAAGTAGTTGCACCTATAGTTATAAATAGTTGCACATATAGTTATAAGCACACCCAGGTGCATGAATGGTTGCGGAAAGTGAATGCTAACATGGCAAAATTACATGCACTTATAGGTGAAAATAGGTGCACTTATAAGAGATTTTACTTGCACTTCGATGTTCAATTATTTACGAAAATGCCACCGCGTTTTTTTTTTTAAGTTATTAGATCTGGACACGTGTCGCGCGCTGATTCGTTCGCATTTCCTTCCTGGGCACTTATTCGCACCTGAGTGCGTCCCTATATATATATATATATATATATATATATATATATATATATATATATATATATATATATATATATATGTATGTATATAGTGTTATAACTAACATTACATTCAAGATCTAATTAAAATGAGTGCACGCGAAAATGATAAATGATTCTATAGCAACGAAAAGTCTGAACAAAACTACAAAGTGTATTGAACAATAGTACAAAGTGTCGCACATTTGAACGAGTGTCTTTTAATTTGCAGGTGGAACATGAGTGTAATTAAGTAGAACTATCGTGCTAATAACGCGTTGAAAATTATAACGTAATTTTATATAAATCATGTGATATTGTATGCTGGAATATAATTAGTATATGGAAGAAGAGAGGATGAGAGGAAGAATAGAACACATGAACTTAGAGCCACATTCTCATTATGTAACCTGTGATATATATACATGTATATTATGGGAAAACTATAGAAATAATGAAAGTGGGGAACCAGATAATAGCTACAAAACAGTTCTATTTACAACAATATTAACATTCATTATTAAATAATAAAAATAACATAAATTTAAGCATAAAACTAATTGTGCCATGCAAATACAAAAAAAAATGTAATGTATTAAAATTAAAAGATTAAAACTAAATATAACAATGCTTCAATAATTAATTATTAAAGTAAAGAAATCATACTTTATCCACCCAATCAAACCTTTTTAAGTAACTCATAAGCAATTATGAGCAATTGAGCACATATCTAGAGATTATAGTCTAAGAGGGTGTTTGGTAAATAGTTGTCAACTGATTGGGTTAGTGAGTTTAGCTAGTTAATAACATTAGGTGATTGTAAAAAGATGTTTGGTAAATTAGTTGTTAGCTGATAACTGATTACATGCAAAATGACTTTATCAAATAGCTAATTGAAAAGGTTGCTTTGATCGAGTATGTAGCTTTTTTAATTTTAGCATTTCAAAGTAATAAACTGTTACAAAAAACTAATTAACCAAACATTCATATTAATTGTTTAATCAAGTCAAACATCTAATAGTGGTCAAACAAGCCAAAATTTGTTGATAAGCTAATTGTGTTACCAAATAGGGCATAAGTTTTATTTGTGTGTTTTTTTTCTTATTCCTTTCAAAAGGTTGAACCCCAACCCCGGCCCGTTTGGGAGGATGTAAATCATGGTGACTCAACTGAATATGAACCACAAAGGCTAGACCAGTGCTCACTGCGCACAAGGAGCCCCCTTCACTTTGAGAGATTGCTCCCACACTGCCGCTGGTGAGACTCGATCCCTGGTCATCATTCTTTTAAAGTTTCACCTCTATAAAGGTTGAGCTACCCATGCAAGCTTTTTTTCTTATTCCATTTGTACGTAATTGGTTAAATATCATATAACAGACTCCGTTAATGGACTTGTAATCTTGTGGTTACCAAGTTAACAGTCCACCCAACTTTGTTAGGATTGTCCGTATAATAAAAGTATATATATTTTCTTAACTCCAAGTGGGGTTCGGCAATTCAAGATAACTAATGCATAAAAGAGTTTTATTGTCACTTTAGATAAATTCACAATTAAAAATATGTAAAATATATCTTCAAAAAAAATGTAAAATATAGGGTAATTAAAAATAATAATGGATGAGTAGCATTCAAAAAAAAAAAATAATAATGGATGAACTTGCGATTCTTAACTGGAATAAATATCTGTTTATGTATATGGCATAGAGTATTTATGTGGTGAATTGGCTATTTACCTCTATCCTAGTTTAGCAATTTAGCATGAACATAAGGTCTAAAAAGAAACATAAAATTTAAAATGACAATAAAATTAAACTGAAATAAACATAAACATATATATAATATAATGGAAATGACTAATATAATTACACACATGAAAATTAGAAACCAATTCAAACACACCATCTAGTGATAGCACTCTTCGTCTAAGTCAATGTCATGACCATGACAACATGTAAAGGTAACAAATTTATGCATCGAGTAAGAACACTCGGGACATTTTTCATTCTCTGAAATTTTGTTCAAGGTATTTGAATATTCAAGAGCACAACAAGAATGACTTTTTAACGAAGAAGCAGAAATAAGCATCTCATGGTGGTCTTTGAAAACCTCATCAAAACCTTTGGTGGCTATGTTTTCCTTCCAAATCTCGTACTCATTTATAACTTGCAGTATTTTAACTCCATGCCCACATACAACCACCTTCTTCCCTTTGCTTAGAAGTGCCCACCCTTCAATTCTTGTATTCTTACCTTCATAGGCCAACAATTTCTTGAGTCCTTGCAAAATTTCATCATTGCACTCTTCATCAAAGCGATTAATCGAATCCAAATAATAGATTCTTGACAAAAACATGCTTTGAAGACGAGTCCAAAACCACCCTACTAAGTAGGAGTCGTATAATGCAGAGTGACTCATTTTTTCTTTTTCAATGACTGATCTTATCATCGTGTTTTTACCAACATAGGCCAACTCTACCTTCAATTGGATTTTGGAACCAAGTTGATGTACCCTAGAAGTGAATTCTCGAATCCAAGTAATGTGGTTTCCTCCGTATAAAAATATATAATTTTTCGTGTCAAACTGAAGAAATTAAAGAATATATATAATTGTTAAACTATTTGTAAAAGAAATAAGAGGTCGTAGGCATGTAGTGTATAATTTATAAGCGGTTGAAGCTAGAAGCCATACCCATTTCTGTATCTCATAATGAAGATACACATTGCGGCTCCATGTTCCTACAACAAGGTCGAGACTGTAATTTGGTTCTTGTTGCCACAGGAATTTTTCCCTTTCGTTGTTATACGGAGTGGATTGTTCTATCTGATCATGAATGAAAATAAGGTAATTAATGTTATAAAATGCCAAACTTTTGAAAGAAAACAAAAAAAGACTATTTGTTTGGAGGGAGTGGGGGAGTGAAAGTACAAATAATTTCTTTTAAATCATTTAGTAAAATAAACGCATGAAAGAGATCATACCAAATTTTGTATCCTCTTTTCAATATTGTGGGCCCAAGCAACTATCTTGCTGTCAATGTCACCAACCAAAACACTTACCATATCATTGATTTCAGGTATCACATCATTGATGTTCGAAGTTTCTTTCTTCAACTCTTTTTTTACCAAAGCAGTTATATTATATATTCCTTGAACTCCTAATGTATTTTCTTCAATATACTTATAAGCCCATACATGTATCATGTGCATTATATTTCGATGAACAATTCTTCCTTGCTGATCTAATGAAACAATGATTGGCTCCCCTCCCATCTGAAAGTCTGGAAAGAGTTGCTCTTTAACAAATCTAATAAACTGTGGTGAAATCATTTTTTGCAGATTGTCCAACCAGTACAAGTTTCGCATCCTTCTTTTCAATTTTGCGAAACGTTGCTCATCCTCAGTAGTCCATGATGCATCATTATTCTGAGGAATTGGAATCCAAAGTAGTCTTGTATTCGCATACAGGGCAAACCAATTCAGAAAATGAATCCTCAAATCAGAGATGTGAAGGCCTTGGGTAATTAGCAGGGCCACTCTAGTGCTGTTCCAATCATTTAATCCCTAATATACATACATATATACCAAATATTCACACGTGACCAAGTATACTACGAATTGAAACATAAAATTTATTTTTTATTTTTGCATTGCATGCTTTTCACCTTAGGCAGTTGGATGAAATAGTTTACCCTAAAAATACAAATATCACAGAATAATAGTAAATAACAAACATTATTGTTTAACGTTCAAAATCTCACCTTGTCTTTAAATAGCATCTCACCATCCTTGACATTAAATATTAACCTGAAAACTTAAGACTTACTAGAAGAATTGTAATATAAAGCATGCTTCAATGCTTCATATGATTCCTCCGCCCTCTTCTTTTCTGCATATATATGAAAAGTAATTAATTTATTATATTAACATCGACATATATAGTTAATCTTCAATAAATAAATATGAACATATATATAAAATAAAACTAACCAACCTAGTTCTTGGAAAAAAGTGTGGAGTATGGTAGCAGTTGAAGTGGTAAGTTCCTCAAGTTCATCATTTTGAGAAGGACAATAAGTAGTAGTGGCAATAACACTTCTACCTATCCAATAGGTTGCAATTGGCAAGGCAGAGATTATTGATTGCGGCGTAGAGTAATTAGATGATGGCGTAGTAGTTTGTTTCAGCTCAACAACGCATTTAGTGAGCCGCAAAACACAACTTGTGCAATCAACAACTGCTTTTTTTTTGAGGTGAAGTTCCAACTTCTGAGCCATTGCCAGTCTAATTATGTTCCCATGGCCGCTGCAGTAGAGTAGTCCATAGATGATATTAATGGAGAAAGCTGCCAATATCAACACCATCTTATCTTCCCAATCATATGAACACAGCATTCTCAGTATATGAATAGTGGTGGAGTGTTCATTATTTGCACTACTATTCAAACCAGCTGAAGCTATCTGAAAATTATATATATATATAGTTAGACTACTTAATTAATTCTCAAGATCAATATATTATATTGCTCCATCTTGGCCATCAAATGATTTACAAAGATTAATCACATGCACCTGAAATGAAAGTTGTCTGATAAGGGATGGAAGTTGTTTGTAATTGATGAGCTCTTCAACTTCATTCAACTTCTCCACCCCTGCTTCTTCACCAATACCCTGATCAACCCCACAACACATACATTCAAAACAACATTTTAGCTAGCTAGTATTTAGCTTCTACAGTTAATAAACAAAATAGATCAGAGTTTTTTTTTTTTTTCATGTTTTGTCCAACTATCGATCATAGGATCATTTCTATATTTGATCCCCGACTATAAGTATTTTCATATTTGGTCCCACGATGTTGAAAGTTTTGTCACATTTGATCTTTCTGACATAATTTCAAGCAATTGAATTATCTTGAACGACAAATTTGTCATTTTCAATCCCCTCACCTTAGAAGTTTAAGAAAAAAGTCATGGAAAATGATAATTTGGCCTTTTAAGACAAGACACATATGACCAAAAATTATGTCGCAAGGACCAAACGTGGCAATTCAAAGATTTAAAAGTCGTAGGACCAAATGTGAAAAAAGTAATAATTAGGGACTAAATGTGAAAATAGTAACATAGTTGTAGTATCAGAAATAAACAAAAATATATATTAAAAAAAAAAAAACTCAAATAAATTACATATAAAATTTTTAACAGTTAAATAATATAGAATCACCCGTAGCAATAAGAAAAACTATACTTGAAGGTGCATAGTTGAACTGGTTAAACTTAAATAGTTTTAACTTCCTAATAGGCTAATACCAACAAGTGATAAGTAGATTAACATACATACCATCTTGACGCTAAGAATGTTTTCTACAATCCTCAAAATGAAGTTGGTGTTGAACTTTCTACCGTCATAATTGTGGATGGACAAGACCTGCTCCTTGATTATGCTCTCATCAGGAGCTTGACTTCTTGGTGATGAGAGTGTGATTGTTGGTTGTGGAATTATTCTCCTAGATAGCAATAGTGTTTGGTTTGCCATATTGAATTGAAAATATAATTATGGGGCGGGGAGATGAGGATAGTTTCTAGTATTAGAAGTGTTTGCTTATGTTTGGGGCAAGTGTTTGCTTATGTTTACTCACCACTAAATGATCACTTATATAATAGCATTTGAAGCTGAAACGAAGGAGAATCAAAAGACTAGATATACATATATTCTTATCCTTCAATACACTCCAAGAATTATATTTATAAAGAAAAAGGGTGATATATACACATTTCTAAGACTTAAGAAACACGTTATTATAAAGTGTAAGATAAGAATTTAATCCAATTTTAGTCCTTCAACTTTCAAGGCTTTTCAATCTATAATTTATTTAGACTTTCATATTTTCCACTTTAAATGCACAACTATGAGTAAAATTTCCAGATTTGTCCTACGGAGAATTTAATCTCAACAAATGTTGCCAGATTTGGCTCAACAGGTGATACCTAAATTTGGAGGGCAAAACTATCCTTCCACTCATTATTTTGGGCAAAATCATGCCAACTCTTCTAAATCATTTTCTCAACACAACAAGCATTCACAACATACCTTCAGAAGTAATTTTTGTATCAAACAGCCAAGTACCTTGGGCATTAAGTTCTTGGGTAAATATTAAATATGAATGAGAATAATTTTAAGATGTTTGTAGCTCAATAACATCTCTTTGGCTCTCCCAAATAAGAGGTCACAGATTCAAACCCCATATCACATTGTAATAGAGTTAATAGTATTAAAAAAAAATTAAGATGACAATGGGATCGATTTAGATCATCGGTACATAGTACATACCCCCATTTAAAATTAATATGAAATGGTTATTTTTTAAAACATGGAGAACCATTGGAGGTCATTTAAAATTCGGATGACCACAGCTGGTAAATCGCTAATATTCAGAAGACCATTGGAGGTATTAACTCCATATATTTTATATAGTACGTAAGTGAGACATGAGCCAGCTGAAGAAAGTATAAAGCAAGTAAGATGGATGAATAATGAAATTAATTACCTCTTGTATCGTTCCATGCTGAAGATCAGAGCATCCCCGTGAATTAATAACTAAAGAAAATAAAATATGTTTGAGAAGTTGCATATTTGGTGGCAATTATGGGATATTGGGTTTGAGAAGAGAGGGAGTAAGGAGCGATAATGCGATAGGGAATTAATTTCATAATTTGGGTTTACAATTTACATACTTAGGAAATGTTTTTTGGAGAGTAGCTGTGGTTTGTGGGGGGGGGGGGGGGGGGGGGGATAGAAATAAGTGAAAGACAGTTTAGCCATTATTGTATTACCACTTGAACCATCCCACTTACACATCCATGACTTTTGTTATAATAACACTCATTTTGAGATGAAAAGAACCAGATTTGAATATATATATATATATATATATATATATATATATATATATGTTGGAAAAATAGCATTAAAATGGCATTTAAGTGGCTATTTTGTGGTACAATTATAAGTGGGTCCACTTCCGATTTGGGTCGGGTCAAAATGGATTCGGATTCTTCGTAGTGAGACGAAGAGATTGATATATTGTACGCTCAAAACGGATAATGGGTGAATGAGATATTGATTCTCAAAGTAGACCCATTGAGTTGGAAAAATGAAGGGAAAAGCGAGCTTTGTCCCACATTGATTTGGAAAGAGGATTTCACCCCCCTTTTATACAAGAGCTTTTTTAGAGCTTGTAGAATTGTATAGCATAGAGGCTCTCTCTCGCGGGGGAGGAGGGGGGTGTGCAAATCAAATTCCAACTAGAAACGAGATCGAAAAGGCTTGATTCAAGCCCGAGCTCGTGTGCGTCGGCACCTACGGCCACGGATGTCGTCCGAAAATTGGCTAGCCTTGCGGGCTAAGTTTCACTTGTTTCGGCTTTAAGGCCGAAAGAGACCAGTGTAACACGAGACACAATGGCACTGCACGAAAGTATGAACCATTCTTTGGTTTGGTTCTGGACTGTTACAGTATTAATTCCAGTTTTGATTTTTGAATTAAAACTCAAATAATGGTGGCTGTTTCAGGTGTTACAAATCGTGCATTAAGTGTCAAATTAAATGCTATTGATTCTTCAACTCCTATATAAGAAGGGTGTAGGAGCAGCAGGTTTACACACAGAGAAAACAACACACACAACACAGAAAATTCTGGTTTTCCCAGCTCCAAAACTCTGCTCCTACTCCCTTCCTGTAGTTGTGTTCGTCCCATGCTCTAGTTCGCCGGGTTCGTTCGTTTGGGTGCTCAAACGTCGAACCGTTGTACGTTTTATCCTGGGAAACCTAGGCCACAACGCTCCTAGCACTTTTGGGAGGTGGCAAATAAGGTTTTAAGGAAAGACAGGCACTTTGCCTAACTCGTAAGAATCTTTCTTCCTTCTCCTTCTTTCTTGTTTTGGATTATGCTCTAAGCAAAAATCCGTTCTTTCTTGTTGTTTTGGAATTATAATCTAAGGATTATATTTTCCTTTTGGTTGATATATATTGGTATATCTTTTTCGTAGATATACATGTATATATAACCGTTGGGTCCGTTTTATATATATTTGTGTGTATATATATATTTCGAATATATATCCAATAATATTTTATATATATTTCGTGTATATATATATAAATATTATTTTACGGATATTAAATCGATTGTGGTTCATTTTCTCCAACAATATATATATATATATATATATATATATATATATATATATATATATATATATATATATATACACAAAAGGCCGTTCCAATTAAAATTGGGGTCCTGTGCAATATTAAAACGTGGGCTCCTTTTTTCAAGTAATTTTTATATTAGTTATAGAGAAAATTTCAATTTTGGTAATATGATTATAGGAGCTTCGTTAATTTCAACACCTAACTTTTAAAAGTGTCAATTTAGTACCTTGAGTATGTAATTTTTGTGAATTTTGGTCACTCTGGTCAAATTGCAGGTCAAATTTCACCGGAAAATTTTAATAGTTGAAATAATGAGGGTATTTTAGCCAAAATTGAAATATATCTTGTGTAAAATGCTGATGAAAATTTTATAGAGAATTTATCTTTGGAACCTTTATTTATTGATAAATCTCTTTTAGGACCATTTTTCACAAGAATATCTATTAATTAGAATCAATGGCATCTCAATTTCTTGGATCATATAAGTCAAATAAAAGCGAATCATTTAGTTTATCACTGTGACCAACATCATCTAAACAACTACCAACATTCTTATTATTTTTATTGTCACAGTGATACCTATCATCGTTGTGCACAGTATCATTTAGATTTTAGATTTTTTCCAATCTCACAATCATCTTGATCTTCTATATGAAGATTAGCATCTAACAATTTTTTCTTGGCATCATCTTTTTGCTCCTTTATTTGACTTTTTCATCTAACAATTCTTTTTTTTTTTTTTTTTTTTTTTTTTTTGTAATGAATTTTTCAAGAACTCCCTTTTGAGATTGAGTTAGTTGCTCAATTCTTCTTTTCTTTTTACGCTTCTCAAACCTAGATGAATATTTTTTAGAAGACATAAAATTCTAAGGAAAAATAAAAATTTATGTAGAAACTCTATGAAT